CTTCACTAGATTTTCTATCATCAATACCCGGAGTTCTAGGCAAAGGCAGAGGAATGGACTATAGGGAAATGGGCGTTGGGGCTGAAGCAATTGAAAAATGGTACCATGGAGTGAAACCATAGAGAGTGAAGCTTTTGGGAATGGAATTTCGCAGTTTTTCCCATATTATTCTTTACATTTTCAACACTTTACGTTCTGGTTGTGTTTTTTTACCCTAGATCCTGTATAAAATTAAATTTTTAAAAATAATTTTATTCTATATAATGATATGAACTGACATGATAACTATGGTTGAAAAGTGAAAAATAGAAAAATTAAAAATTATCTCTCTCTCTCTTACTCTTTCTTTTCTCTCTTTTCTCTCTCCCTCTCTCTCTCCCTCCCTTCCTTTTTTCTATTTCTATCACTCTTGTTTATCTTTCAATTATTGTTGGAAATTTGATATTTCAAGCTTTTTAATTCATAGAACAGAATAGATTTGAATTATTTGCAAATTCTGAACAATAGGCATAGGCTTTAAAAAAAAGTGAAAATGAGTGAGAGAGAAATGAGAGAAGAGAGAAAAAAAGAGAGTTTATAATACTTTTATTACCTCCATCATCACTTTATTGTCAATTTTAGATAAGTTTTATTATCATTTGTGAAAAAATGGGCATTCCGAAATGTATAAATATGAAATAAAATGCATCAGGAAATATTTCATTCTGGAGTGAATACTGGATAGTATTACCACTACTACTACTACTACTAATGCTGCTGCTGCTGCTTCTAATACTACTAATGTTGCTACTACTACTATTTTTAAAAGCAATTTAAAAATCGTTTTTTAAATCATTTCTTGCTGGAAAAACCGGAATTGAATTAATTTTTAAGATCTCAGTTATTAACATCGTTAAACGGAGTAGAGAGGGAAAGAGAGAGAGAGAGAGAAACAGTTAGAGAGAGAGAGAGAAAAAGAGAAAAATAAAACTAGAGAGAAGGACGGAAAAAGAAAGTAGAAGAAAGAGAGAGTGAGAATGAGAGAATTTAATCATTTTTCATCATCGTATCATCGTCATTTTTGTGCTGGTTGTTGATGCATTATACTATTTGTGAAAAAAAACCATAAAAAAAGAAGAAGAAAGAGAGAGAAAAGAGAGAGAGAGAGAGAACAAATGCTATCCATTTTTTTCATGATCATCTCCGTTTATGTTAGTAATTTTAAATAAATTTTATAATTTGTGAAATTAATCATTGAAGAAACTCAATCTAATTGTATTCAGTGTTTGATCTTATCACATTCTCTCTCTTATCTCTCTCTCTCTCTCTCTCTGTCTTATTATCTCTCTTTCTCTCCGTTTTATCTACGTAACCTACATTACTAACTTTGGAATTAGTATTTATACCACTGTTGATGTTACTGAACGTACAACAATCCATCCTTTCACTCTCACAGTTCTTCTCAACTCTGACATGATTCACTATAACTCATTTTGTTACTTAACCATTATATTTTTCGTTGCTTTAATCTTCCTCCTTACTTTTTCTTCCATTTTTTTGTTTCTCCCCTCCTTCCTCCTTTCCTCTTTCTCTCTCTCTCTCTTTCTCTTTCTCCCTCTCTTTCTCCCTCTCTCTCTCGTTCTGTCTTTCTCTGTTTCTTTTTAATTATTCTCTCTTTCTCTACTGCAGTAGTTTTTATTCTACTTATTTTATTCTTCCTTCATTTCTCTCTCTCTCTCTCTCGTCCTCATTTTTATTTTGCACTTCTTCATTTAATTCCTTTTTTCTCATTCTCACCCTCTCTCTTTCTCACATTTTTTCTTCCATTTGACATTTCCATCATTCGCATAAAAGCCATTAAGTAAGTAAGTGAGTACCTTCATTTGAATATTTTCATCAATTCGACTGAAGAACAGGTGTTGGAAGCTGCTCGAAAGAGAGAGAGAGAGAGAAAGAGAGAAAGAGAGAGAGAGGAAAAAAGAGAGAGGAAAAAAGAAAGAAAGAGAGAGAGAGAGAAGGATGAGTTACCTAATAAGTGTGTTTTCAATACCGTAATACATTTTAGTGAAAGATTGACAAATTGTTAGGTTATGCAATATGCATTCCGTAATTTTTCGTTTGTTGAAAACTTAGCTAGTAACATATTTGTATATATCTGTGTGTATTCATGTATGTATGTATGTGTGTGTGTGTGTGTATGTATTTTTATATGTATGTGTGTTTGTATGTATATATATGTATGTATGCATGCATGTCTGTATGTATAGAGTGAAGAAACAAAACGTATTTTATGGATACAAATGAAACCTAATCATTTTCCCCTATAGGCAACTCATTATAAAATACGTATGTTGAATATACAGAAGAATAAACAACAATAATAATAGCTATAATAATTAATTCATTATTATTATTATTATTATTATGAATATTATTATTATTGGAACAGTTTATTAATAAAATAATAAAATTCAACAAAATTTTCTAGACGTACCGTGATTTTTTTTATCTCGCTAATGATGCTAAGCAGAGCAACGGCATACAGAAACGATACGATACGATATGTTACGATACGATACGATACGGTACGATACGATGCATATATATTTGTGCCTGTGCGTGTATGTGCAGTGCTGTCTACGTGAAAACATTAGTGCATTCGATTCGGAGACAGATGAGTGTTGTATGCACACTTGCTTGTATGCTCGCATGTATGTTTGTGTGTATGTTTGTATGTTTGTTTGTATGCTTGTTTGTATGTCTGCTTGTATGTCTGTTCGTCCGTGTGTTTGTTTATTGCACTATGTTGAATTAAGATTAGGTCTTATGGAGTGTAGTCAAATTTAATTTATTGTTATGATTATTTATTATTATTATTATTATTGTTATTATTATTATTATTGTTATTCTCCGTTTTTTTTGCCTTTAAATAATTACTTTCCGTCGTGTCAGGTAACATGTAGTGGTTGTAAGCGTAGATTACTTTGTAACGTACATACACATACATACATACATACATACATACATACATACATACATACATACATACATACATACATACATACATACATACATACATACATACATACATACATACATACATACATACATACATACATACATACATACATACATACATACATACATACATACATACATACATACATACATACATACATACATACATACATACATACATACATACATACAAACATACATACGTGAATAAAACAAAAGAATTTGCAGTCAACACACACACACACACACACACACGCATCATTCTCATTTTAATTAATTGCTAGGTGTATTTTCTTCATACTATGCACGTATTGAAACATCAAGAGTTACTAAATCAACAATGTTTTTCTCCTACTACGACAATTTCCAACAACCAAAAATAAAAAAAAACCACCAAAGAAATAGCAAACGTTGAAAAGTTAACCGAAACAACAACAACAGCAACAACATTTACAACAACCAGAGACTACGAACCCACAGCTTCTTCGCTATGGAAGATGAGTTCGAGCAATTTCGAGCTCGAGCCTATGGTAGATATCTCAACAACGACCAGACTAACAACGACAACTATAACAACAACAACAACAACATCAACAGTACAAGCGATGCAATCAACGAAGATACAACTAAACGACGCACTAGCCACCCACGTCGACACCGGCTGCAGCCAGCCGCTACTGAAATTTACACCAACTACTACACAAACGATTACGACAACGACCAATCAGCAGGCTCTTCTACATCCGGCAACAAAATGCGGCGACATAGTGCGATGGGCATAGCGGCTGCCGACCACTCCTCGCGACTGATACAACAGCGTCAGCTGCAGCAAAGACAGCAACGTCATCAACCACAACGTTTTTTACCTTTAACTGAAAACATGCTTCCAGTGGCCGCTGCGCCAGATGCAACCCTCTTAACTGTTACAAATGGCGATTGTGAAGCGAATATAGGCGCGTCATTTTGTGGCAGCTACAACAAACCAAATAGTCAGGCGTCCTTGTCGCTGAAAAGTCGCGAGTCGAGTGTTAGATTTTCGTTTGAGGGTGACCTGGAAAAGTGCATCGAAGATTCGGAAGAGAGGAATGTCGATGATGGAAACTACCAAATTAATCAGCGCAACTTTAGCGATGGATGTCATGAGAGGCATTGCAAGTTTGTCATACTTCTGATATTTATACATCAAACACATTTTCTGTTAACCCAATGCTTGTTCTGTGATATTTTGTTTTAAAAAATTTTTAGATTTATTTTAGTTTTTCATTTGTTTCTTTTATAATATTTTTTGTCCCGATAATTTTAAATTTGTTTTATTTTTTGTTTTTTTTTTGTCGCTTCACAGGCACAACCAGGCTTCCTCTTCATTATCGTCGCCGCCTCCGTCAGCCGCAAACCTTACGATGACGTCATCGTCAACACACAAACTTCCGTTATCTTCCTCTCAGAAACAACTCCAACCGACTTCGAACGCACAGTCACGACTGACAGTTGCCAGCCCCAAGAACCAGCGACGTTCGTCAACGTGCGGCGTCTTCGAGCTGCCAGCCACCTCAACACTTTCGCCCCGTGGTTCGGCAAGAAATTTAGCCACATCCCCGAAACCAACCAATCGCCGTAACTCCTGCATGGTCGGAGCCTCCAAAATGAAGCCGACTCTTTCGCCACCAAATTTTTTAACCGCCAACAGTGGAAACGCGCCTGGCGTGCACAACAGTTCGAGAAGAAATTCGGCCATCACCTATTTGACGGAAAGTACCAGTCCGTCTAAATCTCGCGTGTCCTTGGTGGCGCTGGCCACTCAGAACAGTCGCAGTGGCGACTACATCTCAAAAATTAGTAACGACAGTTCGCCGAGTGCATGGAAGAAGCAGCAGAACTTACTGGGAAATCGTGTGAAGGAATCGAGTTTCGAGAGCGAGGAATGCAACGTGGAAGCTGGGAACGATCGAACTGCCTGCAACTCATCAGAGAGACTCGTGCCAGCTGCCGTCTATAAAATCCTGGTCGTCGGAGCCAATGGGGTTGGAAAAACCACTCTAATTCGTCAGCTGTTGACGTCAGAATATCTAGCCAATCAGAGCGGCAGCGATCAAGGTAAGTCACACGTGATTGGCCCGTTGGAGATTAATAATAAATTTAACCGGATGACTAGTTTAATTGCGGTTTCTATTGGCAGCTAAAAAAAACTGATTGATGGAGTGATTGAAGTGATTGATTGAACAATTTGATTGATTCGCGGTAGTGGTTGGATTATCGCTTTATCGTTCTACAGCTACAAAATGATCGATTGTTTAGCACTTGAATAACTGCTTGAATGACTTGCAGCCGGCTCTGTCAACATTATCTTATCGAACTTACCGAAAATAAAATGCTTTCTGCAGGCATATGGCGTATGTACACTTGTAGTTCTATTTATTACACTTACATCATTTGTTTCTACACGCAAGCACACACACACACACAAACGCACACAGACAGACACGCAAACACACACACAGGCACTTACACACAAAGACTTATCTATTGAAAATTTTCAGGAAATCTTTATCCTTTTAAAAATATTTATGCAGCTCCTTTTTAAATTTTGAAATTTATTTGATGTTATTAAAGAAAAAGAACGATTAACTATAACAGTAATAACAATAATATTGTTATAATTATTAATATTAAATATAAAAATAATAATTTTATGGAATATTTTTGGCCATATTTTTAGAAATGTTATAACGTGTAACCTGTCTGTCTGTCTGCTGATATAGGTACTGGTCGCGGCAAAATGCCGACATTCCCTTTCATGTGTTGTCGGCAAGTGAATGAGCATTTAATAAAAAGTAACACACACACACACACACCACAAACAAAAACACCCTCCTTACACAAACATACACTCCTCACACAAACACACACACAACACATACACTCTTAACGCAAACACCACACACAAACACGCACGTACACACAAACACATACATGGACACACAAACACACTTGTACACACATTCACATACATAGGCGTTAACATGAGAAAACAAAAAAAACACATAAAGGAATAGATAAAGAGAGAGAGAGAGAGAGAGAGAAACTGAACAAAAAAAAGACAAACAAGCGTCAAAAACAGGAATACAGAAAAATATCAAATAGAAACATTAACATGAAAATAATTGGTCCTCTAGAGCCAGAGAGGGTGAATAACATTGAATCATCATCGTCGTCATCGTATAAACACTGTGCCAATGTTGTTGTTGCTGATTTTGTAGTTGATGTAGTTGTTGTTGTTGTTGTTGCTGCTGCTGCTGCTGATTTTGTAGTTGATGTTGTTTTGCCATTGATGTTGTAGTTGATGTAGTTGTTGTCATTGCTGCTGTTGTAGTTGATGTTCTTGTTGTTGCTGCTGCTGTTGTAGTCAATGTTATTGTTGTGTTTTATTCAAAATTTTGGGGTTAAGTTATTTTTAGATGGAATTTTCAGCAGACATTGATTATGTTAGTTGTGTTTCATGCTTGTGTAGCTATTTTTAAATCGCTGATAAGGTTTGTTGTTGTTGTTATTGTTGTTAATGTTGTTGTTTTTTTTCTTCTATTTCTTTGTTGTTGTTTATGGTGATCTGCTCATAAATTGTTGTTATAATGACCTTGTTGTTATTGCTGTTGTTGGTGCCACGATGACACAACTTTTGTTGTTTTTTAATGAGAATGTTCTGATGTTGTTATTGTGGTTGATGTTGTTGTTGATGATGTTGTTGTTGTTGTTGATGATGTTGTTGATGATGATGTTGTTGTTGTTGATAATGATGTTGTCGTTGATGAGATTGTTGTTGATGTTGTTGTTGTTGATGAGATTGTTGTTGATGTTGTTGTGGTTGATGTTGTTGTTGTTGATGAAGTTGTTGATGATGTTGTTGTTGTTGATGTTGTTGTCAGTACAGCTCTATTGTTTGTTTATTGGTGATAAAAAGGTTTCAAGAAATGAAGCGCGCACTTTCAACACAGGCACTAACTATAAACAAAGCCATCCCATGCATAACCAATTTTTTTATAACCACGTAAAAAAGTTATTGTATTAACGGACCCATTCATGCGTGACGAGTTATTGTTATTATTATTACTTTATTATTATTATTATTATTTTTTATTATTATTATTATTTATTATTATTAATTATTATTATTAATTATTATTATTATTTATTATTATTATTCATTTTTAAAATAATCACAAATACATGGATTTTTAAAAGCGAATTTAAAGCAGTTATGATGTATAACAATAATTATATTTTTATTACTAATTTAATTATTATATAAATTATTATTATTGTTATTATTATTATTATTATTTACGTTATTGTTAATGCTTTGCTGACTGTCTCAATAAAATTTATACAAATTTATGGGTCTTGATTATTGTAGGCAGACGCACAAACACACAAATAAACACATACAAACACACACACGCACACTAAAAAAACAAGTACACACGTTCACACATACACAGTGTTTGCGAAATAATGTAGTATATCTTGTAGTATTAGTAGAAAAACCCCAAATTTTTAATGTTTGAGTTACAGAAGGAGTAGCTGTAGTATTTCTGGTAGTAAAGCTGTAGTAGTAGTAGTAGTAGTAGAAGTAGCAGTACAAGCGCTCAACTCATCGTCTTTGGCAACATCTTACATTAGCATTTTATGACATCATCGTGACGTCATCACCATTCCTAGCTTACTCGCCTGGCATCGATTCCATCATCTTTGGTTATCACCCAAAAGAGAAAAATTAACCCAAACGGAAGTACGAGATGAGGTCATTAACGAGCAGGAAATGAGTTTAAAAGAAAATAATAACAACATCAACAACATGAACTTCATACATGCATACATGCATGCATACATGCATGCATACATGCATACATGCATACATACATACAGTAATATAGAAATACATACAGAAAGACATACACATATACATACACACTTCTATGCATATAATACAAACTCCCACACATACAAACACACATGCAAACATATACACAAAGTGGGTGTATAAAATTAAATTTTTTTTTCTTCAATGTTTGTTTTTCAGTTTAAGTTTTTTTTACTTAGTGTCTATTTCTTCCTAATCGCATTTTTCAAACGAGTACCGTGTGTTTGAATTGTATTGTATTTTCATGTGTGGGATGTGTGTATGTATGTATATGTGTGTGTGTGTATGTATGTGTGTATGTGTTTGCATGTGCGTATGTATCTGTTTGCCTGTAGTTTTATGTGTGTGTTTGTATGTATATGTGTCTGTGTGTCTGTTTGTGTATGTAATTAATTTTCATCCATTTCCCATTCATCCATATTATTAATTTCATCCATGCTATTAGTTTCTTTGTTTTCAATTCATTCCTTAGGCTCAATTCTGATGATTCAATTCTCCTTACAATTTACTCTTAGAAAAGGTAGTTTCTTAAACAAACAAACACACACACCACACACACACCACACACACCACACACACACACACCACACACACACACCACACACACACACACCACACACACACACGTACACACACGCAACCATAATTTTGAGCGTGGGAATACGTAGGAATGAAGATGGAAGCAAGGATGATGATGATGACGTAACGTGACAGAAATAAATAAATAAATTGCATCAATGGAAAAACTAAATGACGTCATTATGGTAATAATAAAAAATATATAATTTGTATATTTATTTATTCGTTTACTTGCTTGTACCTTCAATCATTCATTTATTCATCCATTCGTTCGTTCGTTCGTTCGTTCGTTCATTTATTTTAATAAAACGTCATCATAATGGTTATTTATAGCTTCGAGGTAATACCAAAACTCTGTAGATTCTAAATAACTTTTTCCAATTTAAAATTTTCTGTTGAAAAAAAAACACAGACCCACACAGACACACACAAACAAACATACCCACATACACACACACATACATACACACACACACACATACATACATACACACACGCACATACATACATACAAAAACAGACATACACACAGATATACACACAGACATACATGTATGCACGCGTCGGGCATAATTTCGTTACTATGGCAATGTCTGAAAAATGTAATTATTACCATTCCAAATTGTAAAAGTAATAAATAGGACGACGATGATGAAGATGCTGCTTCTGATGGTGATATGATATAAATGATGATAATGATTATGATGATGGTGGTGATGACAAAAGGGTATACTAACAATAAAATGATTAAAACAAGGGGATCACGTTCTGATGAAGATGGCTGAAATGTCTGCATGTTTGATACTATGACGGCCGGCCGTAGAGCAGATGATGATGACGATGATGATGATGAGGATGTTGTTGTTGCTGCTGCTGCTGCTGCTTCTGCTGCCGATGATGACGACAATAAAAATGTCTTGCGTCATCAAAATTATTAAATGAAATAGTTTTTTCTACATTTCGTGCAATTAATAATAATAAAAATGAAAATAAAAATAACAATAATTAAAACGTCAGTAGAGTTGTTAGGCGCTAAAAATTTCTGAAAAACCTTCTGGACGCAATGACGAACAAAGAACCGAGAACACGTGCTGAACATAAAAAAATTATTAAATCAATGTTTTGAAAAGTTCAAAAATGTCCGGGCGATATAAAGTTTCAAAGAATTTTAAACAACAAAAACAAAACAACAATAGTTACGTCGATAATGGCAGAAAGCGAGAAAGAAAGAGAGAGAGAGAAAAAAAAAGGGAGAAAGAGAGAGAGAGAGAGAAAGAAAGAAAGAAAGAGAAAAAGAATTACACACATAGAAATTACATTTCAAATTTTGCTTGAAAAAAATTGCACAGCATTGACGCCGTCTGTGTCATTCTAGAGTAATTTTAACGATACAAAATTATAGCATAATAATAATAATAATAATATATATTATAAATAACGTCGTCGCCACTTCTTGCTGCAACCATTTCCGCTTCCGGTTCAGACGCCATCTTGATGACGTCATGGAGC